GGCAGATCCTCCTCAAGTGTGACGACTGCAGCCTGGAGCTGTTGCCCACCCTCGTCCTCGCCTGCTGCATCCTGCACAACGTTTGTGAGGCCCACGACAACCCCTTCAACGAGGAGTGGCTGGAGGGCACCGAGCCCACCGAGCTGCCCAAGCCCTGCCAGCCTGCTCCAGCTGCCATGGAGGACAACCGGGCTGAGCAAGTGCGTGAGCTGATGTGCCAGTACTTCGAGAGCTGTGGGGAGGGCTGATGGGCCTGGGGAGCAGCTGCCCTGCACATCCCTGCTTGCAGACTCACCATGGACTCTGGCAAATTGGCCCAGTGCTACCAGCTGTATGAGATGGGGAGGGGCGGCCGTGTCACTCATCCTGGGTTTGCTGTAGAGGTTTCAGGCAGTGGAATGTATTTTGTGCCCATTCTCTCTCCCAGGATCTAAACTGTTTGGTGGTGTGTTGTGTGCTGCGGGAGTACAGTGGGGATTAGGGCTGGGAGGGGGAGGCTGCTGGGATCTCCCTCTCTGTCTCAAGGCCTCTCCATTAGGGCAAAAGTAGCAGAAGCCTTGAAATAAGACAAAACTCCTTTGAAGGTTGAAACTTGCTGTGTAAACACACATGAGAAGGAGAGGGAAGGAAGAGGCGGAGCAGTGACTTGCAAGGGAGGGCTGACACCAGCTTGGAATTAAACTGCATCCACAAACTCAGGGATGTGCTGCCCTGAGGGTTTGTCCCATCTGGCACCCCCTAGGCCCTCTCCAGGGGTGTTTTGCTCAGCCTGGCATGCCTGGCTGCTCTCCAGAAAGGTTTGCCCAGCCTGGAACACCCTCAACCACTCTCTGGAGAGGTTTGTGCAACCTGGCACCCCTGGCTCTTCTCCAGTGTGATTTTGCCCAGCCTGGCACCCCTGCCTCCTCTCCTGAAGGACTTTGTCCAGTCTTGCACCCCAGGTCCCTCTCAGGTTGGGGGTTTTCCTAGCCTGGCACTGCCCAAACCCTCTCCGATGGGATTTTGCCCAGCCTGGAACACCCCCAGGCCCCTCTCAGGGTGGGCCTTGCCCAGCCTGATATCCCCGGCCGCTCTCCAGAGGGGTTTGCCCAGCCTGACACTGCCTGGCCCTTCCAGGGTGGAGTTTGTCCTGCCTGGCACCCCCTGCTGCTCTCCAGAGGAATTTTGCCCTCCTCGGCAAAACCTCTCTGGAGGGGTTTTCCCAGCCTGGCACCCCTGGCCCCTCTCTGGAGGGGTCTGTGGCTCAGTTCCTGGCTCCCTGGGCCCCTGCCCGGCTCTTCGATCCCTGACCGGGCCCGGCTGGAGCCGAACCTGCCCCGGCCATGGTGGGCAGCGGCCCGTGCCCCTCCCCCAGCGCCCCCTGGCGGGCGGGAACAGCAGCGCCCTCAGTGGGGGGAGGCAGCGCCCGTGCGTATTGCGCAGGCGCCGCCGGGCGGTCACGTGGCGGAGCAGCAAGATGGCGGCGCGCGGTGAGTGCGGCGCCGGCAGCGCCGGGCCCTCCCCGAACCCCCCTGGTATCTCCCGGCCCGGGCAGCTCCTCTCGGGGCCTGGTTCCGCTGGCCCGGCGGCTCCGTCTGGCGCGGTCGTGGTAGGGAATTTGTGTCCGTCTCGGGTCTCCGGTGAAACCGAGTACGGACACGGGCTGTGGGTCCTGGCCCCGGGGTCCGGTTCTCCGGCACAGCCCGGGCCGCGGCCCTTCCCTTCCGCCCTGCCCCCGGCCACGGTACTCGCTGGCGGTTGAGGGCGCACCTTGACTCCCTTCCCCGGACGCAGGAGTATGATCGAGGAGCCCCCCAGAGCCCCCAGTGTGCCCGGACCCGCCCGCGCCATGGTGACGGAGCAGGAGGTGGAGGCCATCGGCCGCACGCTGGTGGACGCGGCGCAGCCCCTGCCCGCCCGGTTCCGGGCCCTCTTCACCCTGCGGAACTTGGGCGGCCGCGCGGCCGTGGAGTGGATCAGCCGCGCCTTTGGAGACGGCTCGGCGCTACTGAAGCACGAGCTGGCCTTTTGCCTCGGCCAGATGCAGGACGAGGCGGCCATCCCGGTGCTCATCCGCGTGCTGGAGGACACGGCCCAGGAGCCCATGGTCAGGCACGAAGCAGGTACGGTAGCAGCTCCTGAGGCTCTGGGGGCAGGGGAAGGAGCTGGGCTGAGAAGTGGGGCTTGGGGGTGTTTTCCCCACGGTACAGAGCAGCTCCTGGGGGCCTGATCCAGCTTGGGTGTCAAACCTGGAGTCACACAGCATCTCACCACCTCCCTTGGCCAGACCTGGCAGGACAGGTTGGCCAGGCCCTGCTGTTCCTGCAGGCCGGGCTTCTCCTGTTGTGTTTGTCCTGTTTGTAATCGGTCAGTCTGGCCTGTGTCTACATTTGCCCCATTTGGGATTGTTCAGTTAGGCCTGTGTCTGTGCTTTAGAGCAAGGCGTTCCAGAGGACACAGCAGGGTTCTTCTCATATAGACACCCTCATAACATCATGCTACATGCTTCAGGTGAAGCCCTGGGTGCTATCGGGAACCCTGACGTGCTGGATATCCTGAAACGCTATTCCCAGGATCCTGTGGTCGAGGTGAGGTTCCTGAGAGGTCATTTCCTCTGGGATGCAGCACTGCTGGTCTCGGAGGGCAAGGCAGGTCCTGCCTGGGCAGGTGGGTGGGGACATCACAGTGACAACACAGCAGCATGCTGGGGTTCTCCTGGTGCTGTCCAGTGCTGTTCTGCAGCCAGGGCAATGTCCCTGTCCCCACAGGTGGCAGAGACGTGTCAGCTGGCTGTGAGGAGGCTGGAGTGGCTGCAGAACAACAAGGAGAAGCCAGGCACCAGCCCGTACCTCTCTGTAGATCCTGCTCCCCCCGCTGAGGAGACGGATGTTGCCAAGCTCCGGGAGATCCTCCTGGATGAGTCCCAGGAACTCTTTGATCGTTACCGGGCCATGTTTGCCTTGCGGAACATTGGGGGCCAGGCTGCTGTGCTGGCACTGGCAGAAGGTGAGGGCCTGTCCTTGCTGTGGGTCTGTCCATGCTAATCTGGTATGAGCCCTTCCCAAATCCAGGACTGCCAGAACTGTTCTTGTGTGTTTGTGTCTAGGGCTGCTGTTCCCTGCTACATTACAGAGTGCTGGGTGGCCTCTGGTGTTCCAGAGCCCCCTTGCCACCCTCCAGACACCCTTCTCTGAGGGAGGGAAGGCACTGGCTGTGATGGTAGTCTGGGACCTGGTGGTCTGACCCATTGTCAGACCCAGCCTGTGGTTTTTGGGGTCCTACTCATGGGCTTCTGGTGTTTGGGAATAGTTCTGGAGAGGGGTATGTTCCCTGAGTGGGAAGGGGGCAGACCACAGCCCAGGAACTGTGTGGACCCACCCCCAGCCCAAGGGAAGTGGATCAGGCACTCCAGCCATCTGGGACTGTTGAGGTCCATAAGATGGGAGCTGTGAGCTTCTGCTGCATGGTCCCAGAGGGCTGGAGACCAAGCCTCTGGTCCTGGCCATGCTGACATCCCCTGTGGGGAACATTGTGTGGTGGGGCAGAACTTGAGCAGGTGGGGTCAGCAGCTCTTCTGGGGGTTGGGTGCTGCCATCAGAGGAGGCACTGGGACAGGGCTGGGATCAGGGATCGGGGTGGGATCATAGAGCAGGGGGCTTCCCCCTTCCTGTACATGGGGCTGGGGGAGTAGCCTTTGGCATCCCCAGCTTTCACGTGGGTCCTCCCTCCAAGTGTCCTGGTGTGTTCTGGGGCATCCTGGTGTATTTTGGGGCATCCCAGCTCACTGTTCCCCCTCCCACAGGGCTGCATTGCGGCAGCGCGCTGTTCCGCCATGAGATCGGGTACGTGCTGGGGCAGCTGCAGGACGAGGCGTGTGTCCCTCAGCTGACGGCCGCGCTGCACAGCCGCACCGAGAGCCCCATGGTGCGGCACGAGTGCGCTGAGGCGCTGGGCTCCATCGCCCGGCCCTCCTGCCTGCGGGCCCTGCGCGCCTTCGCCAGCGACGAGGAGCGCGTGGTGCGCGAGAGCTGCCAGGTGGCCCTGGACATGTACGAGTATGAAAACGGCACCCAGTTCCAGTACGCCGATGGGCTCTGCAAGCTGCAGGCCTCCTCCTGAGCCTGGACTGGGGGCACTGAGGTGGGTGTCCTGCCTCCCAGCCCCTCCTGCTGCCAACGGTGCTTTCACGGCCACCTCTGTCAGCACGGATCTGTGCCTTGCCACGCAGAGCTGGAGGAGGGACTGGGTTTGCTCTCTGGCACAATTACAACCACCTTTTGCCTCCAAATCCAGGCTGAGCTGCTACTTGCCTCCCCATCGCTCCTTGCCAGCCACTGTTTCCGGGATCTGCCCCTTTTCCCTGCCAGGATCAGCACTGCCTGCCTGCAGCATGGCTTGGGGCTTGGACCAGGTGGGCTCTGCTTGGCACGTCAGAGCCTGCTCCAGCTCTGCAGGGCTTGGGCCTGCCCTGGGTTGGTGCTGCTAAGTCTGCAGCTCCGATCTCCCCAGCTGAGTTTTGCTGGGAGCTAGGATGGGCTTTGGGCACCCGCTCTTGTGGGCCATGGTATTAGGATGCTTCAAAATTGCTCTCAGTGCTGGCGCTGAGCCAGGGCTCTCCTCACCCCCACAGTGGGTTTGGTTTCTCCTGTTGGGACAAGCTGGAGCTGAGCCTGTGGTAGCCTCTGCCCGAGGATGGGGTTTGTTTCATGACAAAGTTGGGAAAATGGCTGGGTTTTTCCTGCAGGGAAGAAAAAAAGGTTTTTTTCTGCTGCCATGAGGGTGGGCAGGGTGAGACAGAGCTTGCCTGGGCCTTCCCCCATGTTTAACCAGGGCCAGGAGGGCTGAGGCTGCTGCTGGCACCCAAATCCCTCAGCCAGCCCAGCCTGGGCACTGGGGTTTCGGGTTTGGCAGGGAATAAAGCACTGGCACAGGAAGCTGGAGTGAGTTGAGCTGTGATTTACCTGTGCCCAGGTGTGGAGTACACCCAGTGTCATGGGGTCAAGCCTTGGGCGGGAGCCTGGGGGCTGCCAAAATGAAATCATTGAGGTTGGAAAGGACGTTTAAAATCGAGTCCAGGCACGTTGGGAGGAGGAGGGAGTTGGGTCCCTGATGGCATGAGGTAAAACCCCCCCAGCCCTGGGGAGGAGGATGAACTGTCTGAGGTGCCCTGGTAGGTCCCACTGCCCTGCAAAGCCTGGCATCCTGCTGGGCACACCTTTTCCCCTTGTCCAAGGGCTCCCTGTGAGTCACTCCCAGGCTCAATCCTCTTAGTCCCTGAAGCCAGCTCAGCATCCCCAGGGCTCTGATGCTCAGACAGCCAAGGGCCAGCCTTGGCCATGGCCCAGTCTGACCCAGTTCAGGACCCCATGGAAAGGGCTCTTAGTCAAGATGAGATCAGTTTTGGTCACCTGTACACACTGAGAGTCAGTGACGTGTGCCTGAGTGCTGTGGGTAGGGTCACCTGTGTATGATGTGGAGGGTGACGGGCTCCAGACTGCAGTTCGCCAGTGCTAGGGAGAAACATCTGATGTTGTTTGGAGTCAGCAGGTGTTACAGGTTGCTTGCCGCTCTTCCCTCACAATCCGTAGCCCCTGGGTGATGGGCAGGACGCAGATGGCACTGGTGTGTCCATGTCCATATCCATCCCCAGGACACTGAGATGGGTGATTTCCCCCAGGCCATGTTATCATGTCTGCTGTTCCCTTCTTGGCACATGGGCTCCAGCACTCTGGAGTTTGCCAGGCTGTCCCCACTTATCACCTTGGCTGCCCCTACCTTTGTTCTCCAGTTTTTCCACTGGAGAACTTACTCACTTGCAGGGTTGTTTCCCAATCATTCTGTGCCAACATTTGTCTCTGCTCTCCCAAACACCTTTTAAGATAAAATTGAAACAAAATGCATATCTGATGCTGGGATATGAGCAGGGGTGACCTGGTGCAGCAGAACTGGGAGGTGCTGGAGTGGAGCAGGGCTGAGCCTTGTTACTGAACCCCACCAGCACCTTTACCCCTCCCAGTCTAGCCTGTGCTGGGAAGGGTTTGGGCTTTCTCCAAAACTGCTGCTGGTCTGGGCTAAACCCTACACCCTCTCGGTGTGGAGAGAATTGCTTTTGGAGGGAGTATGGACTCTGCACCCCTCTGTAGGCTGCTCTGCACCGGGGAGGTGATACTGGCTGCTGGGGTGACACGTGGCAGCCATCTGGGAAGGTGACAGCCTCTTGCCATGGGCTGCTTCACTGTGCAGCAGAGGGGACCCCGTGGGAGCCCCTGTGGCAGAGGCTGCAACCCCATCCCTTCTGCCCATCGTGTCCTGCTCCGAGGGTGCTGTGTCCTCTGGGATCTCAACCCATCTGCTCCAGGGATCCAGAGCCTGCTGAGCAATTTAACCCAGCCCAGGGGATGGAGGAAAGACCTTGGGCATCCCTCCCCATCCTTGTCTTTGGGGGTTCTCCAGCTGCAGGTGACTCCCCACTCCCTGGGGGGCAGGGGTAGCAGTGGTGCTCCCATAGGGGCAGGATTTGGGGACCCTAACCCACATTGGAGCCTACTGGTCACCCCCCATGCTGAGGCAGCTGGGCTGTGCCTGGATTAGCAGGTGCTAAGCTCCTCAGCAACACAGCTCTATTGCCGGGTTAGTGGCACTGCCACCAGCCATGGGGACACCACTGTCCCTGTGAGCTGCCAGCACTGAGGAGCTTTGTGGCCCCTGATGCCACTTCCCTTAAGTCCCCTGTGTGGCAGAGGCTTTGGTGGCTTGGGCTGGGGGTGCAGGGATAGCTTGCCATGGCCCTGGCAGGGGGTATCCCTGGCACCAGGGGGGCATGGGGGCCACGGCACTTGCTGCAGGCCCCCCCCGAGGAGGACGGGGTGTTGTTCGTGGACTACAAGCCCCCCGCCCTGGACAGCATCCGCCTGCCCCGCTATGTCCTGTACCTGATGATGGCGGCAACACTGGTGCTGGTGGTGGCATATGCCATCGTGGGGCACCTCATCAAGGACCTGGTGCACGACTTTGCTGGTGAGTGCTACCTACCCACAGCAGGGTTGGGCTTTGGGGTGGGCAGGGGGCTGGGGGTATCCCCCCCACATAAGACTGTGTTGTGGCAGGGCTGGTGCTGCTGACAGCTCCATCTCTGTCTCTGCAGACTGGGCGTTTGGGCCCAAGCCAGAGGAGAAGGAGGGGATGGCTGAGGGCACTGTGCTGGAGGCAGAGTGGCTGGAGAAGGACAAGGTGCTGGTGGAGCAGAAGGCAGAGGATGAAGGCAGCGACATCCTGCCCGGCACAGACATCCCGCTGGGGTTGCTCATTCCACGCAGCTCCATCTCCTTTGCCGACTCCCCCAAGAAGAGGTTCTTCTAGGGCCAGAGGACACCCCTGCCCCCAGTAGGACCCTGTAGCCCTGCCTGACCATTAGGTCGCAGCATGGTTCTGGCCATAGGCCAGCACTGGCACACAGCCTCCCCCTCCCTGCCCAGCCCAAACGCTGCTCTCGGGGCTCCTCTTGGACTGTCATGCCAATAAAGCCACCTGCCCCAGCCCTGCTTACCCCTTGGCCCAGCATGGGGGGTAGCAGGGCTGGGACATCCCAACCTTTTCCTGGAGCAGCAGCACCCCTTGGCACAGCCATGCCACCCCTGGCACATGGGTGTATAAAAGCTTGGGGGTTCAAACCCATGGTGTGGTGGCACAGCCCATGGTGGCAGGGGGCATGGACACAGGTGCACACATGCACATGGAAATATGGATACACCCCTGGATGGGCCAGTGCAGCATGGGCACATAGGTAGGGACAGACAGATTGACAGCTGGATGCTGAGGCTGGCTGTGCCCCCACCACCCCCTCAGTCCCCTGGCACTGCCAGACCATGCTCAGTGGCCCCCACAGGTGGCCCCAAACCAGTCTTGGGAGACAAAGCACCCTGAAGCCTCGCTTGGGTTCTGGGTGGGGGCACTGAGGATGGGGGCTATTGTATGGACATGCACCCCTGTCTTAAACCCAATCTGAAGATGGATCCTTGCGCCTCCAGTCTCATTTGCCCCTTGAGAAATTGCCACAGGCAGGATGGTCCTGCTAAAGTTTGCAGTCCTCCCCTGGGGTGCTGCTGGCCACCCTCTGCCTCAATTTTCCTTGTGCCCTGGTGGGTGGACACCCTGCCATGGTCTCCCTGAGCTAACCCAGTATTTCACTCTTGACAGTATGCAGTTGGGGAGAGAGTTGACTCTCTCCCTGAGGATATGATGGGGTCCCACCTGGGATTATCTGGGGCCAGCTGGCTCATGCCCAGGCTGGTGGCAGCCTGGCATTATCCATCCCTCCGTGCTGCCCCATCCCCATGGGATCTGCCCCAGCCCTGACAGCAGGGATAGGGGGAACCAGGCAGGGTGAGCACTTCTCCACCACATCACCCATCTGTTCTTCCACCTGTGCACCCACCCACCTGTCTGTCCCTCCCTCCATCCAGCCACCTACCCTGGGAGTGGTCCCCGGTCATGGGCACAGGGACGGCTGTCCTTCGTCACTGTGGTCTCGGAGGTGGTGACCACTGGGTACTGTGGGGTGCCGGTGCCTGAGCCAGGGGAGTGGCACCACCTCCCAGGGGTGACAGGAGCAATGTTGCCATGGTGCTTGGTGCCATTTTATCTTGGGGCCAATAAAGGCGCCCATTGCCCTGGGTGCAGAGTGCAGGGACAATAGCAGCATGGGACAGAAGCTCAGCTTCAGAAGCAGGATCCAGACGCACCCCAGCCTTCCACCCAAAAATGCCAAAGCCCTTGCAGCCCCTCTCGCTCCTGGTCCTGCTCATCCTCGCTGCCACTGCCCAGGGACAGGCTGGTAGGTGCCCCCGTGACCCTCTATACCACTGTGCCCTCGGGTGCCTGGGGATGTGGCCAGGGCCTCCCCAGGTATAAGATCAGCTCCTGGGAAACCTTTCCAGTGGGACCAGTCTGTCCCAATGCTCCAACAGTAATTTTTGGGGGCAGAGCAGAAAGATGTGGAGATAGCCACCTGCTGCCCCAGTGCTCCCCACTGTGCTGGGGACAGGTGAGCTGTGTCGGGGGTGGCTTCCTTGGTACCCAAGGGAGAGTGGGAAGGGGGAATAGTGAGCATCTGCCAATGTCCCATCCCATGGGGGGTCCCATCTCATGGGGGGAGTCCATTCCCTGAACCCTTGAAGCTGTTCCCACGCCCATCTTTCCCCTTCCCTGTCCCCTGGCCATGCAGACACGGGCCCCAAGGTGCTGCAGCCATGGCTCCTGGGCCTCACTGCCGTCGTCGTCTTCCTCTTCATCGTCTTCGTGGTGCTGCTCGTTAACCGGCTCTGGAATCTCAGGAGGCACAGGTTGGATTGGTGCGGGGGCCGGGGGGTGCTGGCCAGGGGAAAAGTGCGTGGAAGGTTGCCATGGGCTGGGGGCAGGGTTGTCTCCGGGCACCGTTCAGCCTCTCTCCCCTCACAGGAAGGAGAACGACTACCCGGAGACCCTGGCGACTGACAGGTACCACAACAGCCTGGCTGCCCCGCGGGGCGGCACCGGGACCCGCTCCCACAGCAGGGCTTAGATTCCCTCGAGGGCAGCCACCTTCCGGCTGTGCCGTGGTGCCTGTGTGCCCTCGGCATAGCCGGATGCGCCCGTGCCGTAGTGCCCTTCGTGTCCTTGGCACGGCCGCGGTGCCGGGCACCGACGTTCCCTCCCTCCCGCAGGCTGGAGCGCTCCGGCCACGTCAACCCGGCGGCCGAGGACTGCGATGAGCTGAACGACAAGCAGCAGAGCAAGGCCACGTCCCTCTGAGTTCTCCCCGCCCCCCTCTGCCCGCTCCGGAGCACCTCCGACAGGCGCCTCACCCTCACCCCGTCCGTGGATCCACGCCGGGTTTCGGCGACAGCCGTGGCCACCGTGGCACCTCCCGCCCCGCGGCCGCTCCGGCGGTGACCAAGACCCGGCGTGGATCAGCCGCTCGCCGGAGCGGAGCGGGAAGGGCGGCGGCCGGGGAAGGCAGCGGGGGCTCCCCGTGTTCCCCAGCCCTGGGCCGGCGGGGGATCCCAGCCCGGGGGGATGAGGACAGCCCCCTCCCCAGATGTGCTCAGTGAAGCTTTCCTCAGCCTACCCCGGCGTCAAGCGTCTTGTGTCACCGTGCTGGGGAGGAGTCTGTCCGGCACCCCCGGGTGCCACTAGGGCAGGGGACAATGGCAAGTTCCAAGCCGCCAGACCTCAGCGACCTCGGCAGGGCGAGAGCCGGTGTCCAGCCGCTGCCCGAGCAGCCCGGAGCGAGGGGTGGGCACCGAGGGGACACGGGGGGCTGGGGACCACCGAGGGGGGTGGGAGCCTCGCCTCCATGGCTGTCCGGAGCAGTGCTGGGGCACGGGGACCGTGGGGACCGCGGACGTGAAGCGCAGCTTCGGCCAACGCTGACCTACGGGTGAGGACCATGACGTCACACCGCAGCCGATGACGTCATATGCACGAGGCGGTGACGTCCCGTGGCCAAGGCCTGGAAGCAGAAGAAGGGACAGCAGCCCACACGTAAACCTCGGCTGTCCCCACCCATGGCCTGTCCCCACACTCCTCTCCCTGCCGCTCCTGGGGCTGTGTCACCCTCCTCATCCGTGCCAAGAGCCGCCACGGCTGAGGGTCCCTCGGGGGGGATGGGTGCCCCCTGACTGGCAGGACTCTGCTCTCCCCAGTGCCCCCCAGTGCCCTCCTCCTCCCCTGGGACACCCGAGTTCTCCCCGTTTGGGCGCCGTGCATCAGGTTCCCCCGGGGCAGCGAAGGAAGGGCGGAGGCGAGCTGGAGTTGAAGCATAGCTTGTTTAATTTTTATACATTTTTTTTTTTTGTCTTTTTTTTTTCCTTTTCATTTTTAAATTTTTTTGTGTGTGTCAGTTTTTTCTTTTTTGTTTTTTTCTTCTTTTTTGTCTCTTTTTTCTCTTTTTTGCATAGGGGAGGGGGGGAAACAACAACAACAACAAAAAACCAATGGGGAAAAAAAAAAAACAAAAACAACCAAAACCAAAGAAACAAAACAAAAAAGAAAACCAAAAAAAAAACCCCAAAAATTCGTATCAGGGTCAGTAAGTGTATGTAGGCAGGAGCGGCGCTATGGGTAATGGCTGCGTACAATGGTATAATCAAATATCGTGAAGCACCAGGGAGGCGAGCGGGGGCTCGGGGGGGTCATGCGGGGCCGGGGGGCACAGCGGGGGCACAGCGGGGGGACCCGGCCCCGGCTTGCGGCCCTGGTGCGCTCGCGGTGTGTATCGGCTGCGCAAAGCGAAAGCGAGAATCCGGCGAACGAGTAAAATATAACTGCGGGGAGGGGGCACCCCCGGCCTCCTGGGGGAGCCGAGAGCCCCCGAAAAGGCGGGCGGGGCAGCCGGCGGCGCGGAGGCACTGCGGCGGCATTTTTGGTTTGGGTAAGAGGCGCGGTCCGGCCGGCTGCAGCCTCGGCGCCTTTTTGGGGCGGTTTCTCTCCTTTTGCCGCTCTTTGCCCAGGGGTGGGATTTCCCCCCACCCCGGCTCCACCTCCCGCCTGCCCCCAGGCATGGCACGGGGGATACCCAGAGCGGCACCCATGAACCGGGGCACCCGTGGGTATCGCCTGGGGCACCCAGAGGGGCTCCCGTGGGCATCACCTGGAGCATCCAAAGGAGCACCCGTGGACATCGCCTGAGGCGCCCAACGGACACCCAGAGCTACCCACAGGGGCACCGGGTGGGGCGCCCGTGGGTGTCACCGGCAGCACTCACAGTGACACCCACGGGCACCGCACAGGGGACCCGGAGGGGCACCCATCACCGGGGGCACCCATCCCAGCCGGTGGCAGGATCCCCGGGGGGGGCAGAAAGCAGCAAATTCTAAACTCCGAGTACAAAAACAAAACAAAACAAACAAAAAAATTAAAAACAACAAAAAAACCCCAAAAAAAAACAACCAAAAAAAACCCCCAAAAACCCAAACCCTACCAAACAAGACACACACACACACACACACACATATATATATATAAATATATATATAGATGTATGTATGTGTGTGTGTATATATATATATATATATATATATATGAGATTTTATATATATATATTCCTTTGCGATTTAAAGTACCTTAACTGTGTGGGGCCCTGCACCCCCCACCCGGCCCTGCAGCCCCATATATATATATCTATATATATATCTATATATATCTATACCTATATATATATATGGAGATATATATATATATTGATATATAGATAGATATATTTGTACAGGTTATTTGTTTTATTTATAGGTCACAAAGACTATTTTTAATTAATTTTTTTAAGCCGACGAGCCGGACTAAAAACCCTCTAGGAGAGACTGTAGTGCATGAAACCCCCGCGGTGATTGTCGAGCGGAGCGCCCTCGTATCCCCATCCTGCGGGGGACCCCCCGGAGCTTCCCCAGGGATGGGGTGTCCTTCACCCCGGCTTTGCGCTCACCCCGACCGTGGCCGTCGAGGCCGCCAGAAGATTAAAAAAAAAAAAAAAAGGGAGAATGATTTAAAAAATAGAAATAATAAAAGTGAGTGGTGCCCCCACCCCTCCCCCCGGGAGGGACCGGGGGGTGTTGCATATTCCCTTTGGGCAGAGCCGGGGGTGCGGCCCTGGGGGGTGTCGGGGGAGCAGTGCAAAGACCCCGAGGGCTCGGGGGGCTCCCCGGCCCCGCAAGGGGAAGCCCCCGGCACGGCCCCCCAGTGCCGCCCTGTGGGCTGGGGGACGTCGTGTTGATTCTTTTTTGCCTTTTGAAATTTGGTTTAAGGTGCTTTTCTTGCCGAGGGCGGGTTTTGGGGGCTGCGGCCGCAGCCCGGCCGGACTTGCTGCCGGCCCGGGGGGTGGGGAGGCAGCAAAGAGGGGGAAGGGGAGGGCCCCGGTGGTGTCCCCGCGGGGAGAGGGGGCTCCGAGGCTTCCTCGGGGCGGGGGGACCCAGGCCCGAGGGGCGCCAGCGCCCCTCGCCCCCCCGGAGCTGGCCGAAGGGGCTGGCCCGGTGCCCCCCCGCTCCCTCCCTCGGCTGTCACTGTCACCGTTTAAAAACTTTTTTTTTTTTTTAATATTTTTTGCTTTGAGCTGAGCCTTTTCCAACCTACCCCCTCCTTTTTTTTTGTTTTTCTATTTAAAGAAAAATGTCTCTTTTTAAAAAATTTTGTCTTCTTTTTCCCCCCTCTTTTTTTTAAATTCTGTTTTTCATTCCACCCCCCCAGCTGGACATCGCCCCCACTCCCTCCTTGCATTGTCTTTGCAGAAATCAATACTGCACCTTGCATAAAGAAGCGTCTCCCAAGGCTCCTCCCAAGGGTCTGGGACCCTCAAACCAGCCTCAACTGTGGGTGAAACCCGGCGGGATGCCACCATCTCGTCACCCCCCACTAATACTTTTTGACACCGAAAGAAAAAAAAAAAACAACAAACCAAACAACAAACAAACAAAAATTAAAAACTGTTGACGACGACGTTTCTTCATGCCCGAGCAGCAGCGATGCAGGTGCCACCCGCCCACTGGTGTCACAACCCGCGGCACAACTCAGCCCCAGGGAGGTTGGGGGGGGTCTCTCCAGCCGGCGGAACTCTGGGCTTTTAAGGCAAATTCTGGGTTTTTAGGGGGTGTCGGGCCCCCTGCTCGGCAGCGGGCACAGCAGGGAGGGGCGGCAAGAAGGCACCTCCTGCCATTCCCTGCTGTGCCAGCCGGAGCCCCGGGGATGAAGCCGATGGGGTGGAGGTTGGGGAGAGGCTGTGACCCCCCCTGACACCAGCCCGGAGGGGGCACAGCTACATTCACACGGTTCCATTCCTGTCACGAGAACAGCTGGGCTCAGCCCTCCTGGCCCTGCGCCCCATTGAAAACCAATTGAAAAGTGGGGGTCCCTAAGGGGGAGGGCTGGGACTCTGTGGCCCCCCGTAAGGATCAGCCCTGCGGGTCTCCATCCCTGCTCCTCCCTGCACGGAGCCCACCACACCCCGCTCAGTCTTGCCGCGTCCCCCCCGAGCGTTCTGCGGGGTCTCTGGCCCGGGGGTCCCTGCCGCCTCCTGCCTCGCTGCCTTTAGTTGCTGGAAGCAGAAAAAAAAAAACATAAACCCCCCAAAAGGGAAGGAAAACAAAGAAAAGAGAAGCAAAGCAAAGGGATGGCCGCCCCCCCGGCAGGCCCCCTCCATAGCTATTGCATATTCCGGTGTGTTGGCGCAGAGGATGCATCGGTATTACCAACTGGAAGACGTTTCTGAGGGGGAAAATCGGTTAAAAAAGAAGAATAGAGAGAAAAAGGGACTTTTCCGGCCGAGAAGAAGCCATGCAGGAGGCGATGGGGGGGCAGTGGCCCCCGGCCCCCCCGGGCCCCCGGGAGCCCCAGGCATGCAGCGACTCCCTCGCACTGATATCGGGTCCAGTAATACTTAGGCTTCGAAGGCAAGGCACATCATGTGGTATAAAATTTCGTGCAAATTAGGAAAACATGGATTTTTTTTCTTGTGTGTGTTTTTTTTACGGCTTTTTTTTTTT